GAAGATGTTAGTTTATAGATGGAGCAAGTTGCATAGAGACCCACTACTTGGAAGTTAGAGAATTTACTGACTTTTCCAGGTTTGTTGGTTTTTGTTGTTGTTGTTTGGGGTTTGGGTTTTTTAACCCTGAATTATAAAGTAACCTGGAGTTGTTTGAACTGGTTTTGTCTGAAACTTGCAGGCTTAAAAAATAGACAGGTTTCTCTTGTTTATGCAGTAAAATGGCATTTTAGCTTTCTGTCATTACTCATGCAGTAGGTGAAATCTCTACAGACCATGTGTATCTTAAGCTGACTTCAAGGAGATTCCTAACTTTCTGTTTCTACATATACCTGAAAACTGTTTTTTATTTGCAAGTACCTTTTTTTGTTGTTGTTTTTAAGCAGGGTACTGTTTCCTTGTTTGTAGCCACATAGGAGTTAACATTTTATGGTTGATAGACATTCTTTTTCAAACGAGGTATATTCTCTCCTTATTCAGGAAGCTGGTGGGTTTTCTATGTACATGTGTAGGCCCCATTGTCTGTCTTCTTTTTACCTTCCTGCCCGTTTTCTTTGTGTTTTTTTTACAGATGTCACCAGTCACCAGTAAGTCAGGGGACCTAAAATTTAGCTCGGAGCATGACACAGATAGAGACTCACTTGCAACACAGTAAGAACGAAATACTTAAAACAATTTGCACTGTTTTTTCTGCAACTGCTGTTAGAAAACTTTGAGAAATGTTGGAAGTGTTATTTTGTTTTAGTAAGCAAAAAAAGAAGTTAGCTTTAGCATTCTCTGCTTGGGTCACACCAACTCTATGCAACACTCCAGGCTTGGGGCAGAGTGACTGGAAGGTGCCCAGAGGAAAAAACCCGGGGATGCTGGTTGACAGCCAGCTGAACACACGCCAGCAGTGTGCTCAGGTGGCCAAGAAGGCCAACAGCATCCTGGCCTGCGTCAGGAATAGTGTGACCAGCAGGAGTAGAAAAGTGATTTTTCCCCAGTACTCAGCACTGGTGAAGCTGCACCTTGAGTACCATGTTCAGTTCTGGGCCCCTCACTACAAGAAGGACCCTGAGGTGTTGGAGCGTGTCCAGAGAAGAGCAACCAAGCTGGTGAAGGGTCTGGAGAACAACTCTTATGAGGAGAGGCTGAGGGAACTGGGGTTCTTTATTTTAGAGAGGAGGGGGCTGAGAGGAGACCTCATTGCTTTGCTCATTTAAGACATCTCCTTCTTTAAGGTACATCCTACTGGGGTAACTATGCCCAAAATTAAACGCCAAATTCTACCCTTATACACTTTTATGCACCCTTATGCACTTAGACAGCTCATTCCTCATCATACATGAGGGTTAAACTTCCCACTTACAATTTTTTCCCAAATCTAGATACTGCAGGAGACAGAAAATAAAGGTTAAAAGGTAAGTAAATATTATAAGTTAATACCCATGTCACGTGCCAGTATACGATAGAAATCATGCACTAAATTTTTAAGAATTAAGTGAGATGTGGTTGTCAAGTACGAGCTTTCACTGTGGAGAAGTGAAACTGTTAGCACCTGCACAGCTCACTGTACCTTTCTTTGAGCCTCTACACAAGTGATTGCTGGTTGGCCTATTAGAATAGTATTCATTATTGCCACAATGCCTGCTGTAAAAAAACAGTGAATGGCAAGCCCTCATGACATGTCTATCTTTCAGAATTTCAAGATGGAAATTATGGGATTTTAATAGGAAAAAAAAATGTTATCCAAGATGGTAGTAGATTTTTATCTCAGCCGAGTGGTTAACCTATCTTCTGCAGACTTTAGAGGAAACAGAGGAATGTCCACCTAACAGATACTAAGTGAACTAAGGTTTTTATCTGAGTATCTCTTAAGATTTGATACATCATCACGTCCAATGTTCAAATATTTAAAAGATTAAAATTATTTCTCAAAATTGGAATAGACTTATACTGAAAATTTGCATAGTAACCTCAGCCTTCGAAGAGCAGTGAGCAGATACTATTTGTTAGTACAGACATTATCTCCTGATGTATATTCCCATTATACGGTTTTGTTGAGCTACACTAGGTAGTGTAAATTTACAAGTGATTATCCATGAGGCCCAGTTGAACACAGAGTTTGGTAGACTGGTACTTGTATTAGTGATTAATTTTCCTGGTGCAGTAGTACTTCTCAGATTGCTCCAGGAATCCTAACACAGGGAGTCTTTAACTCCAGAACCTTTTCCTTAGCATGTTCTGGTATTAGAGCTACAGCAATTGATGAATTCATTAATACATTACAATACCATGAGAACAGTTAAACATTGTAATAATCTCCCAAGGGAAGTGGTGAATTCCCCTGCATTGGGACAGTTTTAAAACTCAGCTTGACAGGATGCTGGGTGATCTCATTTATACTAAATTATTACCTGGAAAGGTTGCACTGGATGATCTTTGAGGTCCCATCCAACCTAGCATTCTATGATTCTATGAATACACAATTCAACTTAAAAAAATCAAACTAGAGGCACACAGCCATCAGTCCCTTAGCAAGACTGATGTGTAAATGTTTTAATCTATAAAATATGATTACATGAGGGCAGTGCCACCAAAAGTAACTTCTTTCAGCACCCGTGTTGGGGAAACTGCATGCATCTCATTGTATTCTTTAGTCTTGATTCATCCACTCTCTTGTGTGCTTCAGCAGCATTCAGCCTAACAGTTCTGGTAAAAAACAAGGCCTCTTCATGCTAGGCATGATACCAGTTCTGAACAGAGCACCTGCCCTTGAAAGATTGCAGTTGAAGTATTATTACATATTCATCATTAAATAAAGTTACAAATTCTGCCAAAAGTGGGAAACCATGGTATAAGTGATGTAACATCTGGATAATCCCTGGAACCATCTGCAAACCCAGTTTAATTCCTTTGTTAAAGGCACTAACTGGGAAAAATACAGGAGCCTGAATGATGCTTTTAGTATTGTATGGGGTGTAATAAGCATAAATAGATGTTAAAGTGGTTTCTGGTTCTGTAAATCTGTCACATTTCAGGTAAATTAAAATGGAAAAAACTAACCTTATGCACTTTGCCTGCCTGCCTTATTGTTGTTGAGTAAATAATCCAGGAATCGCTCCTTAATTACAAGTATTTTGATGTTTGAGCTTAGGAAAGAGAACAAAAGTGCAGTGGCTTTTATGAGAGGAGGGGACTGGCAATTTGTATTTTTTAATTAAGTTTGTTGACTAGTGATCAAGACTACATGATTTTTAGGATAATGAGCAGTTCTTTTCAAAGCTATGCTATGATGTCTTAAAAAGTAGATAACTGGAGTGTTCTCATATTATGTCTTCCTGGTTTTTCTGTCCTTTTTCTACTGCAGAACAGTAGTTTTTGTAGCTTTTTCAGCATTGTACTCAAGGGGGACAGGCAGACAATTGCTCTAACACATCAGCCAGGGGTGGAAAAAGCTCTATATTTGGTCTAACTTTGTGTTTCTTTTACTCTTTTTATTTCTGCCTTCCTCTAGAGGTGCAAAGAAAAAGAAGAGGATAAAGAGGAGCGAGAGAGAAAATCAGCACAACTTGGTGGGTCTCGATACTCCTCTATCATCAAGTACAGCTAATGGTGTTGAAAATGAGCCTGTAGCCCGTCGGGGGGAACTGAAGAAGAAGAAAAAGGTGGTGAGAGGCTCAAACTTAAGCACAAATGGAAAGACAAATACTGCCTTTGAGCCTGAATGCTGTGATGCATAGTCATAACTGAATTCCAAATACTGGTGTGATATTCAGTACACATATTGAAAGCTGCAACCATGATCTCACTTCTAGGATTAACAAGAAACAAAGAAATAAAAATACTTGAATATGTAAATGGCTCCACTTGTGACTTACCCATCGTGTATATCTGGTTTGGCTTTTGCCCTGGGTTCCTTGAAATCAGCAGAACTTGAATGTTTGACTCCTCACTGGACTGGTAAAATCTGAAACTGTCAAATACAAACCTGACCGATTTAATAGCTGATTACAACTGAACGTAGACATTTCTTTAGATTGTAGATAATCCATTGGGAGCAGAGATTCAAGTGAAAAAGTGTGGTCTAGAGCAAAGCAAGCCCAACCACTAAAGTTATTAGATTAGCATTTTAAAATGTGTTGTAAGTAAAATAAAGGAGTGTTCAGAATGGTCCAATTCCAAAGGAACACTGACATTACAGTGTACCTAAAACCATAAACTTTAAAAAATGTTTTCCTCACATGAAGTATTCACTTGGACTGCATTTTTGCAGCTCTGAAGCGAATTGGTGAGTAACTACTTGTACAACTACACTGTCTTCAGTGGGACTATTCATGCTTACCAATGTAAATAAGTGTTGCAAATTCCAGGCAGTTACATTCTTCCAATGAAGTTTTCTGCACATAATAAAGATTCATTGCGGTTTTGTCAGAGTTCCTGGCTGCTTTGGCAGCAGTCTTGCCAAATATACTTTCTTTTGTGTAAATGAAATATTTCATATCCAACTGTGCTGTTTGTTTTACTTGTAGGCTTTATTCACTTTTAAGTGTCATTAATCTATTTTTTTACCGGAGTGTTATGTTGTAAACTTTTACTAATGACTTCAATAATTATCTACAGCACTAAATAATTTGTTTTATATTAAATGAAATGCTGTCTATCAGCTAGTGTTGGTATTTTTTCTGGCTGATGATGTCCAGTTTATTTTTACTCTGCTAGGAAATTCTTCCTCCTCCCCCTCTGAAGCAATAAATAACATAAAATTAGAAAGCCCTTATTTAGAAGACGGGGCTCTTGATTCCATTAAAAAAAGAAGTGAGAATAACAGTGTTGGGCACTGATGTGTGAAATGCATCCAGATGCAGAGGACTAGTTGCTGCATGTTTTAAAGCCAGAAAAATCTCTTAAGCTCATTTCTTTTGAGTAAAGCATGACAGCAAATGCTCTTTTTTTTTTTTTTTTTTGCCCCACTGGTCATTGTTCTTTGCTAACAGTCCTAGTTTTGCTTTGCGTAGAGTATGTATATGGAGTCCTCCCTTAAATGGGGCTGGCATATGTGTACTGGAAACTTACTCATGTCTCCCCAGTCAGAGGTGGTGTAAAATTACCTTAGTCCTGGGACTGCCTGATTCTAGCAAGGCTCCTATCCTCTTATCTCTCTGCTTTTTCATTAGATTCCAACTCCTCATTCTGTATGAAATGTGGGCTTCAAAGATTTTATAAAAGAGAAAAATCCCAACATGTTATGTTTCTTAAAATGTCCTGGATCACATTTAAAATAAGGACAGAGCATGACATCAAGCTCCACGTCAGGGAGAGCTGAGCAGTAGCCAGTATCTGGGACCTCATTGGAAAGCACTGTAAAATGTTAATTTGGCATTGTGGACACTGAAGACAGAAATAACACTTCAGATAAACACCACAGAGAGATGGTAGCTCTAATCAAAGGCACAGCACCTCCTTTCATGCTTGCGAACTAGGGCTCCAATTATGTTCACTGCTCTGAAGCTGAATAGAGCTGCTTGGCCACACTTCCCAAATTGAGAGGAGAGGCAGCAGCAGTGTCTTCCAAGGCACAGTTCCAAATAACAATTAAGCAGAAGGAATCAGATAAGAGCCAAACATGAAAATGCAGGGAGTTGAAAATAAACTTTTCATAATGTTTTCTTGTAATTGCAACAGCTTTTGTTTTGTTTTTATAATTTTTCCTCCCTACCACATGGTTGATTAGACACTTATATTCCTTTATACCATCTCACTGTGATACTACGGTTTTCTGCATTCATTTAACAGAAAATGAACATAAAGATCTGATATTTTTCTTTTATATTGAAGTGATCCTTCAGTATTAAACTTAGAACCTTCAGTCTAAAATCTCTTTTACAAATTATTAATGTGGCATAGTGGCAAAGACAGTTTTTACCTTTTGTTCAGAAATATGGCTGGTACATTAATTGTAAGAAAAACTGCTTTTCTCTTCAGTGTTAGCAGGTTCTTTAGACTTTGCTGTTGGGATTTTAAACCTACAAGTAAGGAGAAAACTTTTTAAAAGTTTGGATCAGGATGATGGTTTTTAAAAGTTTCTAAATCAAACTTTGTATAATGCTTCTTATTTCTGTGCTAATGCAACCTACATTTTTCTTAAAATTACTTTGAAATTCGTGTGTACATTTGCCAAAAATATGAATTTCAGTGGAAGAGAAGAATTCTAGAATTTTGTTCTTTAAGTAGAAGAACCACAGTAAGTATCCTAAAACCACGGGTGCCCTGCAGAATTGCTCCCTGAACCATGAATTAAAATACGAGTTATCAAAGTCTATTTGAGGAGTTTTCAGAGGGTGATGCAAGTTAATTGCTGGAAAAAAGCAGATAAAACCTCTTTTTTAAAAGGGTAAATATTAGATATTTATAACTGCCTGGTGATAACAGCAGAGTAGATCTTCCATTGTTCTGGTGTTTTTCAGGTTTGTGTGTGTGGTTACAACATACAGTTCTTACTACCTTTTTCTGCTATGGCAAAGACATCAAGGACAAAGCATAAAGCAACAAAACAGAAGAGAAGGGATGGCACATGTTTCCTGTGTTCCCCAATAGCCATCAGAGTGCATTTAGTTTTTCCCTTAAAATAATTTGAGGAACAGACATCGTAAAGCACAATAAGTGTATTTGTAGCATCACTTAATTCAGAAGGCAGTAGGGGATGGATCACAGTCAAACAAGGGCTAATGAGAACACAGAGGAACATGACAACTGAAAGTCTCTGTTGACTGGTGAACTAAATCTGCCGGCTGGGCCCGATTGTCTGCTGGAGAATTGAATGTCAGGATCATTTAGGGTTAACAATGGCCTGTTACAAGCAAAAGCAGACAGCTAGGAAAAATAGCCGGCATGGCAGCCATTCTGCAGAGCCCGTGGATACAAACTTGATAATGAGGCACTTCATTCACTGCATCCTTCTGCTCTAGTTACTAAGGTGAATAGGAAGTACTTCATTTAAGGCGGGAACAGACTAAAGCAAAAACACTTGTTTGGTAAACACAAAGAGTGGTGGGGTTTTTTAATGATCTTTTTCTAGCACATATGAAAGTAGTATGTGTGCAGTGCAACCTATTTTATGGATGTGCAAATGGGGTGGGGATAGAAGCCTCACCTGAAATAGTGGAGAGAGGCTAGAAAGATTCATGGACAAGTTTGTACTCTGGGGTGTTCCCCTTAGTGTTCTGTTCAGTGGCTCTCCAGAATGTTTTGGATAAATGGATTTATGAATGTACACCTGCACTTGTAAAAACATACTGTGTTAGTTCAAGGAGTTTTATTGTTTTGAGTATAAAATGTGTGAATTAGGAACAAAACTGCTGCACATAAGGAATAGAAACGAGAGGAGATCTGAGAGAGGGAAATAAGCAACTGGAGAAGAACACTGGTGTCTGGGGGAGACTTGCAAGAATGTGGCAATTAGAAATTGGAACTGAAGAAGAAGGAACAGAAGATAGTGAGAGGGTATGTTATAGAGCTTTGGTGACTTCAGTCATGCTTTTCAGACTTTAGAAATTAAGATATTTAGCCACTTCACTTTTTAAATTTTTGTGCCATTTCCAGGATCTTTTTGGGTGAATTCTTAGAATCCACGAGGAATATTTTCCAGTCTGTCCAGTAACTCAAAATTCAGTACTGTCCTAACTCTGAGCTACAGCCTGGAAAGGTCCGTATCATCTGTGGCTTGCAGGGCTCTTCGGACAGCTGAAGCTTTGGTTCCCTGATTTCCAGCACAGGTCTTCAAAGGGCACCATTATAGTTGTCTGTTGCAATACACACCTCTGCCTTGATTCAGCTCCAGCCTCTTCATAGGGCACAAAACAGCTAGAGCAGCGATGAGAATTTCACACCAAGCATCAAGCTGCTGTTTTGAGCATTACGTATCATGTGATCCTTTTCTTACATGTAGATGTGCTGTACTCACAGTGGATTTGGGCAGAGCTTTGTGCTTTGCTCAGTGTATTGTATGCTGATTGCTTGCTGCCCTCCCCTTTGGATGAGTCTGTTTTCCAGCAGTAACATGTATGTGTGGAGCCCTGGTCCTGCAAGCTGCTTAGAGTAAACAGACCTCTATGCTCAGAGCTCCAGCAAAGTCTGTAAGGTTTAGGCTTTCAGCAGCAACGTCAGGGCTGTAATTTATGCATTAATGCTCACTAACTTCAAAGACAAAAAATATTGTCTAGCTTGCACTCAGAAATTAAAAGAATAGCCCTGAGTTTCATTTAAAACTCTAGCTACCTGATTTTTTTGTGAGGACTGTTGAGCCAAATGAATTTGCACAGTGTTTGGCTGTAGCAAGCAAGTTTACAAGTCCTGTCTAATGCTCAAACGCAAATACTCGGAAGAAACTGCAGATGCCACTTTTAGCGGAAAAATGTTTCCACACCGGTAAAGCAGTATCAGTAAAATCTATGCTCTGAGCAGGCATCAAATTTTTGTTGCACTTATATCGCCTGCACAGGCAGGGAGTATAATAAACTAGTGTGCAGCAGCTGTAAATTTTCTGAGGATTTATCTAACCACAAATACATCGAAATGGGGAAATAGGGCTATATTAAACTGTGCAAGATGCTGCTGGAACTCAGCCATTTCTGCAACATCCTGTAATTAATTTATTATGACAGGTCTGGCAAACTGAAACACCCAATACACTTGCGACAGACTTGTTATGATATAGCTGTTTGAAAACCCCGTAGTCACATAA